GTCATGTAGCTATTAGTGTTGGAGCAGGGATCTCATCGCCTTTAATTTTGGCAGGCTCATCTGCCTAGGCAAAACACTAACGTGTTTAATTAGAGGAGGCCTGTTTGATGCTGTGAAGCTAAAGGGTGTGCTTTATACTGGCCTTTACTTCGAGTTCTGAACTTAAAGCCGCTAGATTAAACTATGGCAGGAAGTGAAAGTTGTCGTTTTTACAGAACAGCACCTTGTGAATTTCCCACATCTCTTCTCCATAATAGGAAGAGAAACTCTACCAGGGGAAATCATTAAAAGTAGGATTAGTTATTTTAAATCTTGGCTTAAATGGTAATAGTTTTAAACACAGTTGTGTGGGGGGGGTTGTTTATTTTTTTAAAGAATTGCTTTTCATAGGGAAAAATCTTAGCTTTGGTGGTATTATTTAATGATGGAAAACTAAAGACAAAATTAGTTTTGACAAGAGTAGCTCTCTGTTCACTTTTATTTATTTGTTTCTGATCCTCATTTTAAATATTTTTCTTACTTTTATTTTTTATGTGTATGAGTGTATTGCCTGCATGTATGTAAGTGTATCCATGCCGTGCAATGCCTGTGGAGGTCAGAAGAGGGCGTCGGATCCCCTGGAACTGGAGTTAAAGACACTTGTTAGCCATCATGTGGATGCTGGGAATCAAATCCAGGTCCTCTGCAAGAGCAGTCAATGCTCTTAACTGCTGAGCCATCTCTCCAGTCCCTGATTCTCATTTTAAATAAACCTTTTTGAACCAACCAATGAATTTTATCTCCCAATGTATTTGTTTTTCAAATTTTGCTCAATATTTTGGGCATTTGAATCTCAGTTTTCTTTTTTAAAATTTTTATTATTTTGTGTGCATATCATGTGTCCATGTGGCAGGTGGATGAGATGGCTCACCAGTGGAGGTCAGAGGTCAATTTTGTGGCGTCGGTTCTTTCCTTTCACGTTTGAGGAGAGTTTTGGATAGCAAAATCAGATCTTCAGACTTGGCAACAGGTGTTTACTCACTGAGCCATCCTGCCAGCCCTGAACCTAAGTTTTCAATGAAAAAAATGCTGAAGTCCTTTTCAGTAATTAATAAATGACTTCTTTAAATCAAAACGAAGATCAAGGGAACTGGAGAAATGTCTCAGTGGTTAAGAGCACTGGCTGCTCTTGCAGAGCACCCGGGTTTGGTTCCCAGCACCCACATGGCAGCTAACAACCATCTTTTACTCCAGTTCTAGGGGATCTGCCACCCTCTTCTGACCTCCTCGGGCATTGTGTGACATGGGTGCACTTACATGCATGCAGACAATACTTTCATACACATAAAATAAAAATAATAAATAAAATATTGAAAAATGAAGATCAGGGAACAGTGATAGATCTGGTAACTATTTTCATCAGGTTACAATTGCAAACGTTTTTTGGTACTTTGTATTGTACTTTGTTTTGGTACTTTGTAATGCTTCTTTTCTGATAGTGTTCTTGAAACGAAGGCATGTAATTCCTAGAAGTTGCTTCAGAGTTAATTACTGAATCTATATGCAGGGAAATATTTGTCTCTTTTTTTTTTTTGGAACCAAAGATTTTTTAAAAGTTGGACATGTAACATGGTGCAATCAGTGTTTTCCCTTGTTGGCTCTCTGGAAAGTAGAGCACAGTTTTATTGACTGGAGTAGTTTTCCCCAGCCCAGGAAATTGTGTCATAAGCCTCTTTTCATCTTTCCTTGGCTTTGAGACTAGATGTCAAGTGTAAAGCATTTAATAGTTTACTGTATCCGAGATGTTTTGTTTTTTCCTTAAGTTTGCTTTTGGTTTTCCTTTTTTTTTTTTTTTGTTGAGGTTTGTAAGATTTGGAGGGAATTTAGTCAACATAGGGAGTTATTAATTTGTGTGAGAATAACACATTCGTTCGTGTAGAAACAGCATATTATCAAGTGTTCTTTAGATGATTGAAAGTATTCACAAACCTTGATTTTAAGTTTAGAATTTGCTATCTTAAATTATCTTTATTGCTCATTTCACATGTAATTATGTGTCTACCGTGTATCAGACATACTAGTGCTAGATCTACCACATTGGTCCTTTGTTTTCTTTTTTATTTGTGGACATAAGGTCTCACTGTGTATCCCTGGCCGACCTGGAGTTCACTATGACGCTGTCCTGGATCTCACAGAGATCCACATCTTTCTGCTTCCCCAGTGCTACAATTAAAGGTGGACACCACCATATCTTTTTGTGTATGTGGTATGCATGTGTGTGTCAGTGTTGATTTGCATGTGAGTGGGCTAATGTATGTGTGGCTAGGAGTACATGTGTGTATATATGGAGGACAGAGGTTGACATAGGGTGTCTTCCCTGATTTCTCTCTACTTTATTTGCTAGGCAGGGTGTTCTGTTTTTGTTTTTGTTTTTGTTTTCTATTGCTTCTTAAAATATCCTGAGCAATAGCTATTTGAGGGGGGAGGGTTTACAATTCCGGGTTACAGTTCACTATTGTATATATTCTTTTTTGCATATAAATATTTTAAGTAGTTGGTGATCCATCACACCAATAAAGTAGTAAAATGCTTATAGAACCCACAACTTTGAGGCCTTATGACTTGTACAAGTCCAACTAAAATTATTTTTCAGTTCTAACTAGTGTTAAAATGAATGTCTCTGTATGTAAATCTCTGTCCATATTTTGGCTGAAGAATACCACTGACTTTAAAGCAGTTCATTTGTGCTGTTAAATTACTTCCAAGGGAGAAAGAGGTCATGGCAATTTATAATCCACCAAAGGGGTGGGAGTAAATATGAGGCAATGGCTGAGGTTATTAAATACTATGTTGTTTAATACGATGGTATAATTTAATGTATTGACTTGATTTATATAAAATATTTGCATTAACATTACAAATATAGAAATACTACAGATAATATTTAAATACTATTGTAATATTATCTTATTAGTTCAAAGAACTGATAAACTGAAGCACAAAGCCATCTTTTTTGTAGTTTTTTTAACTGAGTTTTTGTGTATTTCATACAGAACATCTTCATCAATTTTAATTGTCTTTATACCCTTTCCTTCATTGGCACCCTCCCATAGTTCCCCACCTCACTGGAATTCATATATTATATTATTTGTGTTCAAGCCTACTGTGTCAAGTTAGTGTCCCCAGATGTCCCTCAGTGCAAGTTCATCCACTGGGGTCTAGTCAGCCTATCTGGAGTCCCTCCCTTTAAGAAAATCAGCTCTTCCTCACCCAGCAGTAATCAGCTGCCAATAATTCTTTGGCTAAGATTGGGGCTTGTTGCCCATTTCCATAGTTCTGTGCTGGGTTTTGTCTGCTTGAGTTTGCATGGTCTTCTGCATGCTGACACCACTGCTGTAGGTTCATATGAGCAAGGTCCTAGGCGCTTGTAGGACTCTATTTCCATATGGTGAACCTCCTCCCTGGCTCTTACAATCTTTCCATACCACCTTCTGCAATGGTCCCTGAGCCCTGGGTGGGTGTTGTTTAATACAGAAGTCCTGTCCAAGGACCCACACTCTGCAGACTCTTACTCTCCATGCTTTGGCCATTTGTGACCTTTTGTGTTCCTGGTCCTCTGTTGCATGAGGGAGCTTCACTGATGAGAACTGAGAGATGCATTAGTGTCCTCCTTACACTTTGTTCTATGTTCTGTGAGCCTTAGGTGTAGAGGTTGCATTTAGATGTGCCACTTAGGCTTGAACAATTCATAGACAATGTCTGTGTGTGACCTGTTGTGGAACTTTGTAATAGTTTCCATCTGTTACAAAAGAAGCTTCTTTGATGAGTGGTGACTGGGATACTTGTCTGTAAATAGAAGGATCCGTATTTTGCACATAGTAAGAAATCATATTTGTCTAGGGATGTGACATCCTTGGAATTTTCTCTAATATGTAAGACCTCTCCAGCCATGTGTATTTGGCTATGTTTACAGTACGACACATGAGTTTGCTCTCATTGAGTGGGCTTTATGTCCAATTAGGTAGCTGTTGATTACCTTCAAGATAAAGGTGACACTACTGTGCCAATGTCATTTGCTGTTCTGGCCGTTGATGTGGTTATTAGACCCTGAAGCTGGGGATCATTGATCGATGTTCTCCCTTAGCAGCTTGTGTAGTGCTCTCCAAAGCTATGAGAGCTAGTCTTCAGGTAAGTGGCTTTCAGGTCAATACCAACTCCATTGCTCCAAATCCTGTGTTCGAAGTATGTCCTCTCATCAGCGATGGGGTCTTACTTTCAAGTTCTGGGAGGCAATCAAGGCCTGTGGCAATAGCCTGTGTCATTTTGGGAGTCTCTTGGACTACCTTGGCCAACAGCTCAAGGGAAAGAGTCTCCTGCTTGGCACTGTTTATTGTTATGTAGCCTTTAGCTATACACATGGGTTCATGTAGAGATATTATATGTGTAATTTGGACTAAGATGATTCCCTCTGGGTTTTTTGTTTTTTGGGTTTTTTTTTTTTGGTCTTTTTGAGACAGGGTCTTCCTCTAGCCCCAGCTGACCTGGAACTCACTATGTAGACCAGCCTGACCTTGAACTCAGAGAGATCCGCCGCCTTTGTCTCCCGAGGCTGGGGCCACAATGCCAGGCTCCCTCTGGGTTTTTACACTAGCTAGGCATTATTTGTCTCTCCTCTCTCTTTTTCCCTGTCCAGACCTCCCTCCACACAAAGTCATCTTGTGACTGCCAATCTATCAGTTGTACATGGGGCCAGGAGTCTATTGTCTTCTTCACCTAGTCAGTACCCCTTCCTCATTGTAACTCCCTGGAAACTCACCATCTTGAAGTTACACTGGGGGCCCAGTAACTGCTAGGGACCTGTAGGCTGTAAATATCCACAATTGCCGCCTGCTTTCTCATATGCGAGCTTCTCCTTCAAGTAGGTATACCCAAATCATCAAATCGGATCTGTTTGCCTCGAAAACTAAACAAACACTTCTGATTTTGTTTTGCTTTCTGTCTGGACTCATTCCCAGCACCTTTCCTGCCCATGTGTGACTTGTCACCTCATTCTGTAAGACTGGCACCAGTGGAGATGCAGAGGGAGAAGATCCCTGGGAGGAAGCGAGGCCGGCCCCCACTTCACTCCACACCTGTGAAGATGGCAGTGCATAATCTTTACTCTGCTTCCACGGGCTCTTTACCAGCAGTGAAGATGGCAAAGAAGAGGGGGCGGAAACCTGGGTACAAGGTACGTCTCCATGATCTCCTTCTCCAGAATAGAGTGGGGCTGGGTACCAGGGGTTGGGCAGAGCACTGCTGCTCCATGAAGATGGGGAGTCGAACAAGCACGGTGGGGGGAGAAGTAAGTCTCTCAGCGGAGCATGTGACGGACAAGGCCTAACATGTTATTAAACCTAGTGTCTAATCAGAGTGTCAGACAATGAGCTTTGACTGTTCCCACCACCGAGGCCCTTGAAGCCACTTTCTAGAACTCATTCATTGTTTATTTAATGGAAGCAAATGACATGCCTGAGACATTTAAATTAATGCTGTGAGCAGGCCAGTGTCAAAAGGTGTAGAAAAGTCTTCTGGGACAGAGGCTCAGCACTGGGGCTCAGGGTGTTGGTTATAGAAAATGAGTTTCAGTAGTTTTTCTCCATTTATTTTTTTCTTGAAGTCAAGCCTTATGTTTCTATCTCAAGACCTGAATACTGAAACCAAAATGCAAATTGGCAGTTAACTCTCATATATTTAGGAAAATGTATGGAAATTATTTCAGGTCAGCAGAAAGAACAGGTAATGAATTCAACCTCTTTATCACCTATGCACTCTCAATTCTTCCAGTGCTGAAAGAAAAACAGTAGCAGAGAGGAAGATTGGTTATTTAGTTACTTCTGGGTCCTTGGCTTCTGTTTTTTAGCATTTACTTTTCTTTTTAATTATGTGTGCCTATATGTGGGTTGAGCTGCCCCACATGGGTACTGGTAACCCAACTCAAGTCTTCCTCCTCCTGCTCCTCCTCTTGTTCCTCCTCCTCCCCCTCCTCTTCCTTCTCTTCCTCCTTCTCCCCCTCTTGCTGCTCCTCTATCCATTATGGTGGTACACACCTTTAATCACCGCACTCAGGAGGCAGAGGCAGGTGGATCTGTAAGATCCAGGCCTGAGATGGCCTACATTGCAAGTTCCAGGCAAGCTGGACTACAGAGTGAGACCCTGACCAAAAAAACAAAACAAAACAAAACAAAGCTCTTCTTGAATAAACAGAGGTTAATGTCTTCTGTCAGGCCCTTTTTCTGACAAAGGAAACCTCTTCTGTTCATGACAATACTGACCTTAGAATTGTTTCTCTGGTCTCTGAAACTGACTTAGGACAGTTGTTATCCATTCAGTTACCACACCATTGCTGGACCCTGGGAATTCCATTTGGAGGGCTGGAACAGGGTAGCCCTTTTCTCTGACAGAGCGAGGGATCCAGTACAGGTTCTGAGGAAAGGTACTGAAAGCTTCACTCTTCTGTTCTGCCTTCTTCCTGCCCCCTGAGGGCTATGACCCGAGTGAAAATTACCAATGGACAAGTCTCCCCAGCTTTATTCCGACAATCTCCCCAGACCCTGACACCCCATTTTACCACAAATGACAGGACTCTAGTTGTGGAAGAGCTAATAAGGAAGTTGTACAGTCTCACTCCATTTACCAAGTGGCCACTAATTGCAATTTTAACTATCTGGGTCACAGTTGGGGAACCAGAATTTGTTTATAAAAAAAAAAAAAATCCTGACCAAGCAGGATATGATCTTACTTAGTCTGACCCTAAAGACCTTGTATTTTATTACTAGGGAAAAGTACTTCTTGGAGCTGAGGACAGTGGTCCGTGTCTGTTGTTTTCTTGACTCCCCAGAAGCAGGAGGACTCCTGCAGTCTGTGTAGCACAGTGAGACCCCCGTCTCAATAAATAAATAAATAAATGATATAAAAGTGGTTGGGGGACTTGTTGGGAAGAAGGGTTCCAGAGGGAGTGGGAGGAGGGTAAAAAAGGGAAATTGGAGTAAATATGATCAAAATACATTCTATGCCTATATTAAATTGTCAAAATAAAATTCTTATATCAATAATGACATTATAATAGCTTCATACTGCTATTAGTAATCATGTAATAATATGATTTTGAGTCTTTGTTGGGATTTTTTTTGAGGAATTCTGAGGATGCCTCTTCCTGCTGACTGTGTCCTGGGTCCAGGCCAGATGACATTGTCTGATATCACTCCCAGTGGCTCTGTCAGTCCCCTCTGTCCCTGCACATGTGGGAGCTTTCTCTCTGATCCAAGAATGACATAGGTGTCTCTCTTCCTGAAGGAGTCCAGTTGACACTGGGGACCTTTAACTGTTTCTGAGACTTGAGGTTAACATGGGTGAGCTGTAGGCAGAAAAGGAAGAATCAAACTGGAGGGCAGATGTCAGTCCTCTGGAGTTCAGGGGTCATCCCCCTCCCAGGGCCCATCTAGCAGTCTTTCTCTTAACCTCTGGCCTGCTGACATATTTCTGGGGTCTACTCACCACTGAGACTCACTGTCCTCTTCCACCTTGACAAAGGAAGCAAAAAAAAAAAAAAGGAAGAAAAGGAAAAGAAAACAAACCTCTTGACACTGTGGTTTCTAAGAGCCGCAGCCCATCAGGCCAACAGCTGTCTTCATTTCAAAAGAAATTCTCTCCTCCTGGCATCTTGGTCAGTTACTTAGTTCTCAGTTCAGAGACTCTCCCAAGAGCAGCAGGTTCATTTTCCTTACATTTCATGGTTGTAGAGAGCACTGAAGTCTTTAAGTGGGCAGGAAAAGGCTGTACAAAGCACAAACCCAAACTTCTGTTCTGCAGGTGTATGTGAGCATGAAGTTGTGAAAAGTTATCCAGCAGGACATCCTTGGGCAGCCATACCAAGCATCCCTTGAAATCTGTGGTTTCTAATGAAAGTTGTAGGGTCACAGGGCCCAATGGGCAGCATTTCCTGTGGACACATCTGGTTTCTGAACTCCACATTAGCCTGTCTTGGTGTTTGTTCTCCTTTCCCTTCTCTCAGTGCCCACAGAGTACAGAATCAGTCTTCATTCTCGACTCCTTGGCTTCTCTGGGTCAGGAGGCCATTAAATAACCTTCCTTCCCCAACCCAGGCAGGCTAGCAGCCCTCTTCAGTACCTGCAGACTCAGGGGAGAATCTCAACCCATCACAGAGCTGGTGGGAGAATTCCCAGCATTCTCCTTCCACCTCAGTTGCATCCCTGAAAAGTACTTCCCTTCCACCTCCAAGCAGCCCCTCTGACTTCATTCTGGTGTCTGCAGTACACTGTACTTAGATAATTTTATTTTCCTAGGAAAGCGCTAAGGCAAGGCCATTAAATTAGGGTGTGAGATTTGACTGAAGCAGGTCTCAATGTGAAAAGATACTGCCCCTCCATCTCTTGGGTGTTTGATCTCTCCTTGATGTAAAAATGTAGGGGTACACCCAGTTGCAGGCTGACCCCTAGGAATGGAATTAGGTCACTAGTCACAAACTTTTTGTTATTAGAATTAGTTTGCCTTTTTACCAGGCAGATTTTTAGAATAAAGTCTGAGGTGGTGGTGGCACACGACTTTAATCCCAGCACTTGGGAGGCAGAGGCAGGCAGATCTTTGTGAATTCAAGTCCAGCCTGGTCTACATAGTGAGTTCAGGTCAGCTGGGACTACAGGGAGACCCTGTCTCAAAAAGACAAAAAAAAAAAAAAAAAAAAAGGTGAATTATTCAACTTCCCTATCTGGACTTCCCTAAGACTTCCCTAAGGTGTCACCTTTGGGACTTTTGAATGAAGAAAGAATGTGAATGCCTGGGAGAAATGTGTCTCTAAGGAGAGCATTGTAGACAAAGCTCTTCTTCCTCGCTGAAGGGTACCTCCTACTTCTGCAATAGCCACTGGCAGCCACGTCCTGGATAAGCAGTCACGTAGCTGTTTGAGGTTTTTGAACTGCAGGTAAAGGTGCCAGTTGTAGAACATCAGAGTTGTTGGCTTCTCCTGTGAGTCAGGCAAGGCATCCTGGGCAGGGACTCTTTTGGTTTCATCCTGCCAGGAAGAGGCTTCTTTCTCCCTCCACTCCACTTACCCCATTTACTCAACCACATTCTGCTCTTACTATTTTCAATATAATCTGTACTTTAGGCTAGGTAGAGATGCCGCCTGTCTGCAGCTCCTTCCCCTCACCGTTAACATGCTTTGCTATGATGGCACATTTGTCACAACTAGTGAGCAGTAGTAATGTATTGTCATAATGAAGTTCCTATTTTATTCCGTTCTGAGTTTCTCTAACTCCATTCCAGGATTCCATCCATTAAACTACATTACATGTGGTCATCGTATTTCATTACACTCCTCTGGTTTGTGAACGTTGCTTAAATTTTCCTTATTTTCGATGACTTGAACAGTTTTGAGGAGTTTTATAGAATGCTCTACAGTTGTAATTTGTCTAGTGGTTTTCCTCTGGATTACACTGGGTATGGGATAAGATCCGAGAAGTGCCCATTGCATCGTATCCAGAATACATAGTGTCAACACCACTGCTGGATGAATTTTGAGCCTGGCTACGGTGGTATCCATCAAATGTCCCCACTGTAAATGGTACTCCCCCTTCCCCATTGCTGTATTATACTATTTAGAATGAAGCCATTACACACAACGCACCATTAAAGAACAGGGAATTGTGTTCACCTACTTGGGAGAATCTACAGGAGTCATGAAATTTTTATGCACCAGAGATTTATTTACTCCCCCTATGTATTTATTTCATCAATCACTTATTTATAGCTGTATGGACTCATGGATATTTGTTGTATACTAAGTGTCATAATTGTTTCTCTGTTGCTCCTGGTGGTCCAGACTTGGCTGATGACTCTTTCAGTCAGTACCTGTTCTTTAGGAAACACTTCGATCACTAGTGCTTTTTGTTAGTGTCTTATTACTTTCCGGCACTACAAGATACTTCACGTTTACCGTGTATATTCCCTGCCCTCATCTTGAGATCAGCAATTTCTGCTAGGAGCCCCAACTCTTTTTATTAAAGAATGATATTAGAAACCAATATATGAGCATTTTTCTTTATTTTTGCCCAGAAAAATAACAAAATAAAAACAAGCCAATCAAAAAAGACAAAAAAAAACCCAACAACAAACAACAACAACAACAACAAACCCAAGGCAAGAATAGCAAAGACAAATGCCCTTCCACAG